TTTAGACTTGTAAGTCTCCAATCATCCGATCAATCTTTCAACTCTAGCAGAACTTCTAGCAGCTCTAGATCCTCTAGACAAAACCATCACTACCAACAAGAAGACGAAGAATGCTTCAACTTTTTCATGGATGAAGAAGACTTCTCTTCGTCTTTTAAACACTACTATCCTTATCATCCATCATCACACCACCCCAACCCTTCTACCACCACACGACTCCCACAACCACCACTACGCAACATTCTCCCCACCACTCACCATGCTTTCGACCCTTCTGACTTCTCTTTCTCCCTGCTAGTGACCTAAGCTTCGATTTCTCCGGCAAGTGGGCTACCATATCCTCCTGGAAACAGCAACCGCTATTGCTGATCGAAACAGCGGCCGTGTCCAGCAGCTCATGTGGATGCTCAACGAGCTTAGCTCACCTTACGGTGACACCGACCAAAAACTCGGTTCTCACTTTCTTCAAGCCTTGTTTAGCCGCATGACTGACTCTGGTGAGCGTTGCTATCGAACTTTAGCCTCGGTATCTGAAAAAACCTGTTCTTTCGAATCAACAAGAAAGATGGTATTGAAGTTTCAAGAGGTAAGTCCTTGGACTACTTTTGGTCACGTAGCTTGTAATGGTGCAATCATGGAAGCTTTCGAAGGTGAAAGCAATTACACATAATTGATTTAGCAACTTATTGCACCCAGTGGCCTACTTTGCTTGAAGCCTTGCTACCCGCACCGATGAAACCCGCATTTAAGGCTAACACTTTGTTGCTAGCAAAACGGCGGCGTTTCAGGTGCTGCAGGAGCTGGAGGCTTGGCTGCAGTCCAAAAAGTAATGAAGGAAATAGGAAACAGGATGGAAAAGTTTGCTAGGCTTATGGGAGTTCCCTTTAAATTTAATGTGATACACCACGCTGGTGATTTATGTGACTTAGATTTATCAGAACTTAATATCAAAGAAGATGAAGCCTTGGCCATCAACTGTGTTGGCACGTTACATTCGATCACAGCCGTGGACAATCGTAGAGATATTATGATATCAAATTTCAGGCGATTGCAACCAAGGATAATCACGGTTGTTGAAGAAGAAGCCGATCTTGATGTTGGGGTTGACGGGCTGGAGTTCGTTAAGGGATTCCAAGAATGTTTAAGATGGTTTAGGGTTTACTTTGAAGCCTTGGATGAGAGTTTTGCCAGAACAAGCAATGAAAGGTTGATGCTGGAACGAGCAGCGGGTCGAGCCATAGTTGACTTGGTGGCTTGTGCCCCGTCCGAGTCCATTGAGAGGCGCGAGTCTGCCACGCGCTGGTCCAGACGGTTCCATGCAAGTGGGTTTAGCCCGGTTGTTTTGAGTGACGAAGTGTGTGATGACGTACGCGCCTTGTTGAGAAGGTACAAAGAAGGTTGGTCAATGGCACAGTGTCCTGACGCCGGAATATTCTTGTCTTGGAGGATCAGCCGGTGGTTTGGGCCAGTGCTGGCGGCCTTGACGACGGCGGTAGGCTTTTTGTGCACGGAGAGTACTACTTTTGGGAGTGATTCACACGTGTGTTATGTTTTTCTCGCACGTGTAAATGGGATTGGTATTTTATGGGGTTGGTTAAATTACTTTGTGTTTATGGAGGAGAAAAAGGGTGATAGAGGAAGGGGGGAGTGCAAGAATTTGCTTTTGATTTGAATAGGATTGGGAGTAAATTGATTTCCACTAATTATAAATCTTCGTTTTACCATTTTATGATTTTTTTTGAATTTTATGGAAAAATAGGTTATGGGATTTTGATCATCTTCACATTGGAGAGAGCTTTACTTTCTTCAAAACTTAATCAATACCACCAACTTTGACCCGTGCTGGCCTGCTGAAATCCTCCCAAGAGACTTGATGCACAATTTGACAAAGAACCAATTTTTCTTAAGTTTAAACACGAGGGTTGGTGTTGGCTACTAAATAATTGACATGCTAAGTATTTTTAAATCATTGTTAATAATAGGACCAATTGAAATGGGGTTGGTATTTGGTGTAAAAGGGGGGGGGGTGATATCAGCTTAATTAGGGATTAATAGTTAATTATTTGATAACTAAATAAGGGTTTCAAAATTTCAGTTATCCATTTAAAAGGATGAATAGAGGTCCTTATCTAGTTTGGGCCCTTAGAATCTTAGGACGGCCATTTGGTTAGGGAGTTGAGTTCCATTTGGTGGGAATCTTATGAAAAGGTGTTTGTCATAAGTGGCAAACCGGGACTTAGTGGCCAGCACGCTACCAATTCTCTTTCTCCCTTTTTTATTTTTCAAAAGAAAATTATAAATGCAAAATGTCTTTGCCTTTTCTCTTTTGATTTTAGAAAGGGAAAGCTTTGGTTTTGCCCATATAAATGGCCCCCACCATAACCTAGAAAACCCTTTCATGGTGGTGTAGCAACGTTAACAAGCATTGCTTTTGGCCCACGCAAGAGGAGGAAGAAGAAGAAGGCAAGCAAAAATAAAAAAAAAAAGCTTAAATTTGTATAGTGGGAACTTCTTTTTAGGGGGTTCACATCTTAATCTTTTGACGAGACTTGCCCCCTCCACGTTGACACCCCAACGCCCTTTTTCATTTCATCTTAACTAAATTATTATTATTTTATTTTTCTTCCTACGACCTTTTCAAATATCTTTTTCTATCTTTCTTTTGCTTTCAAAATAAAAAAGATAATGATAATATAACTATGCAAACTTCTTTACGTGTATTCTCATCCAACATATGTGCCTGCCTCTGTGTGTGTTTTATTAAAAAGAGCGTCGGCCCATGCTTCCTCGGCTCTTAGCTTATGCTTTGAATTGCTTTATGTCATTGACAATGACCAGTAGCTGCTGTCTTTCGAGTCGATATATTTCGTGGACCTATCCCAAAGTTCAAGTGGCAAGTTGTAGCATATTGAAAAGATTATTGAACAAATTTGGCCCTTGCATGTTGCTGTAATATATATATATATATATATTAGTTCTACCTATTTTCGGACTTCTCTATGTTTTTCCCAGTCTGGGTCTTCTTCTGTCTCAAAAAAGAAATGGAAAATATTGAATAATCATATACTTTGTTGCCGTACGTATTCTTCACTTTTTTCTTTTAAGGGAGTAAAAACTTGAAATCAAAGAACAAAAACAAAAGGCAAGAAGTATCTATTTATAATAGAAATATGATGTTTGGTACAGGTATGTTATATATATGCATCTAACTACTTAAAAGAATATAGCAATTAATATTATTTAAAAAGATTTGAATTGAACAAACTTAATTTGAATAGACTTAAGTCTTCGTTCTTGCTATTTGTTTTGTTTGCTGTGTGTTAGTTGCTCTTTGTGAGTCACATGATAAATTAACCTGTTCCAGATCAATGGATGAAGTCTATTTATTCTTACTAATTTATTTGGTAGTATCTAAACGCATGAGACACAATTACATTATATATATCTTCCTGTATAATGAAAAATCTAATAGAATCCCTATATGTACTAAAAATATAACGTAGTCATTGTTTGCAAAACGGTAACTGGTAAAGTTAATAGTGTTTATATTTTTACCGTCTTTTTTTTTCTTGATTTGCACGAAATTAAGATAAAAGCATTGATTTTAATGTATTTTATATTAAAATTTTAAATTTTTTTATAAAATTGATGTTTCATATTTTTTTAATATAAAAATAAAAGATTATGAAAAAGTAAATCGAAATATAAAAAAATAAAAATATTAAGTGTTTAAAAATAGATATATAGTTTTGAGACATATCTCAAAGAGAAAGACAGACAAAAAAACAAAAAACAAAAAGACTAAAAGAATAATTAGTATAAAACGGTAAGACAAGATATGCTGCAATGACAATGCCATAAATTGTACTTCTTATATAACATTATTTATGGGACAAGTCTGGATTACAGATCAAATCAATGGAATATATCCGATTTGACTAGAATTGGTTGAACTTAAAGAATCACGATTTAATTCCAGGACGTAGAATTATGGGGAATTAGGGAACAATTGCTCATATGTTGTCTAATCGATCCATAGACTAAAAGCCAACCTTACGAATATATAATGCAACTGTACAAACAATTTTCTTTCTTCAATTAGGCTTAATTTGTACAAGCCTAGTTTAGGTTAATCCCTATAATTTATTTACTCTTTATTTTTACTTCTAATAGTTAACTTGAGGGAAGGAAATATGTTACGACCAAACTAAAGTCTATATATCCGGGCCAATTTACCCTGTTTCTGGAAATTTATTATCATCCTTTAGTAGTTAGCCAAAATTAATATCTAATTTGTATAAGTTCATTTAAAGAAATATTGTATTGCTTTTTTTAGTAAGTATTACTATTTATCTTATCAAAAAAGGACTTTGATTTAAGTTTTTGGACAAAAAATGGGGACAACAGGATAAACTGACACTGTGTGATGTGCGGTGGGGGGGGGAGGAAGGCCATCAGGCTTTGGGGAGTAGGGGACCTTCTTTATTTTGGAGGACAACATTGTCACTGTAAATTATGGTCCCGTATCACTATCAAAGTCCCCCACTGCTTCCCCCTTTTTCCTTTGGATGTTTTTTCAAGTTTTCAACACCAATTTCCCATGTTTCCGAAGCAATTCCCATAGCTTCAATCAGGGCTAAGCATATGGGCCTTTTCCTTCCTTTACGAAGCAAAGAGAGACCTTTGCAACGCCTCATATCAAATGAGAATTGCTAAATTACTTCTAGCTTCATCATATGATAAAAAGAAACAAAGAAGGCAGTGAAAAAATGACAGAAGGAACTGTAAGCAAATTATTTAGGAAAGGAAAAAAAGTTCTCAACCAAATAGTAATTGTCTCTGTGATCATTTACTATCCTCAAAGCTAATATTAACATTACCTACAGAAGAGATTTTTGTAAGTTCACCGGCAGTGCAAAAGATTGAACATTTTCACCAAATTATTGAGGTGTGTGAGCTCAAAAAAGGCTTTGCAAATCAGAGACAAGGACGCAAACCAATGAAAGAATAAGTGAAGAGCCTTAATATACATAAGAGTACACCAAAAACTAATGATCACCTCAAAGCTAATTTTAACATTACCTACAGAGAGATTTTTGTAAGTTCACCGGCAGTGTAAAAGATCGAACATTTTTACCAAATTATTGAGGTGTGTGAGCTCAAAAAAGGCTTTGCAAATCAGAGACAAGGATGCAAACCAGTGAAAGAATAAGTGAAGAGCCTTAATATACATAAGAGTACACCAAAAACTATGTATTTGAAAGGAGGAAAAATGAGCCAATCAGTTCGACAGTCTCCATCTCAAGGGAAGTCTCCACTTCCGATGCCAGTATATTGACACCCTTGGCCATAGTGGGAATCCGAAATTGAACTCAAGAGGCCGATCAGCAGGACCCCCCACTATTAAAGGTAACCATACATATCTTGAGTCCCTTAGGTCAGCTGGATTCCATCGATCTGCCATGAAAATATAAGAACCTGGAATCCCTGGCAAAGGAATCACAAATGTACTCTGTGCAAAAAAGGTTGCAAGTCGAAACATTTTGTTCCCTCCAATGCATGGATTTCCCATTGTCTCCCATGGGCCCATGATTGACTCAGCTGCATGAGCCAGTGCTTCATTTGGTGCCCATCCAGTGCAACCCGATGTGATCAGGTAATAGGTCCCCTGGTACTTGAATAGTGCTGGGGCTTCCCGATGCTGCCCAACCAGAATCCGTCGCATATCAGGCTTCACATCTAGATAATCTTCACTTAGTGGTCCTATGTGAAGTTCACTATTATCCTCGGACGAATAAATTAGATATGCTACACCATCATCATCTTTGAAGATGGTCATGTCCCTGCTCTCATATCCATGGGGCCTTTGGCTACGGAGATATTCAAAAGGACCTGTTGGGTAATCACTACTAGCAATGCCAACAGCAGCTTTAGTGTAGTTGGCATCGTCAATATGCATCCACATTACATACTTTCCCGTATGGTCATTGTAAATCACTTTTGGCCGCTCCAACACATTGGATTTGTGGAGATCATGGGTTTCATCTGTCTCTTCTGCAGCCAACACAATGCCCTCATTTTTCCACGTCCACAAATCCTTGGAAGAATAGCAACCAACTCCTATGACATCAACCTGATTACAAGGTAACCAAACAATTCAACAAAAACTTTTTGGAAGAAAAGAGTTACATATGCAATCAAATACCAAACCAAGACTATAAACTAGAAATAGGTGCTTAAAATAAGGACAGTATTGTGAAGGTGCAATGATGCCTTACATGTCAGCTATAACTACCCACATTCTTTTTTTGGAAAAGCATCTACATACACTAAAAAAAACATGTAGCTGCAAAAAATAATCTTCTATGCTTTCACATGAGTAAAACCCAGAGAGGCAAAAGATTATACAAGGGATGAGTCCTAATTACGCAGCATTTATCTTCCTTTCTCAGTCCCTAGGGTTGAACAACTGATAGATGAAGTGGCTCAAAAGATTTTCAATTTGCAATCACAATAGTCTGCTTAATCTGGATATGATAAAGCTATATTTATATCTCTTTGAATTAGAAGAAATCCACAATGAAACTACATCAATAAAGACAACTTCTTACACAAAGAAAGCTTCTCTTTCACTGTTTTAATAACTACAAGTTTACCACAGAGAAATTTATCACCGCAGCAAAACCATCACATACACCTACTTATGAGTTATGACTCATTCCCCACCTGGAGATAGGTAGAATATAATATGGCATATAATTTCTTGGGTTTCAGTCACAAATATAATCTCAAGACACTTTGGCAGTAGCACATATTTCAATAACATCATCAAAAGGTATTGCACTTCAGTGGTGACATAGGTAATATGAAAACAAATATAGATACATGATAAAGGACTTTCATTGCTACTAAGGTACCGGAGGTGTAAATAAAGAAAAATGAGTCATAAGCACTTCATTGAGCATAAAAGCATTAAAATTCCATGTTCTTACACCTATGTAACCATCTTTTTTCATACTGTCAAACCTTAAGAATCCAGAGATTATACAATGGGGCTGATCTTGTATCTTCAGCATCTTGCAACTTATAAAGAGACTGATAAAGATCAGAGCTGCTAGTAGCTCACAACTCACGTTTTTAGTTCAGAAGTGTGAGTTTCTTTCAGTAAAAGAAAAAGGTTTGGCATCAATTTACCAAAAATCAGAACAAATACCAATGATAGCGGTTCTGGAACTTGGTTTGAATAATTTATTCCTTAGCATTGTAACTGAACCAAGATACTCGAATTTTCCACTATTAAAACCAAACCCAACTGGGGAAGCTTGTAAGCCAAATTAAATATAACCAAATAATTTGGCTCAGACCAGATCAGTTTCAGAGCGCATATGCATCTCCTTTATTGTGCTCAGGATTGAGCTTCTCCATTTCTAAACAAGTCCATTTTTGCATTGACAATAAGCTTCTCTACTCCAAAATCAATGTTACAATCAATAACATGGAATTGAAGATAACATAAGGATTTCAAAGAATAGGAAGCGGCTAAAGAAGGATTTGAAAAAGCATCAATGAAACTGTCTTCAACTTGAAGTCTATTGTATTTTGGATTTAGTTTCACTCATTTTATATTGAAAAAAATTGGGATTTCTAGTGTAAAGTACAATAACGTGAAAAAATACCCCAAAATACACTAATATTACTATGTTTATGTGATTTTTAATATGGGAGTTGGTACTTTCAAGACAGACTTGGTTTAAGTCATTACCAAGGACTATAAACTCTTCACATTCAAGGAGGTCCTTACTAGTGAAATTATGAATTATTTTTGCAATGAGTCATGGATGCCTAGGATCCTAGTTTTCATGCTTTTATCCCTATATCTTTATTTGGCTCTTTCTTACTCTCTCTTTTTCTCTCTCTAATTTTCTGGTTGTCAATTATATAATTCTCAGCTCTGTTTTTCAGAATTTTCTTCAATTAGATCTGTCCCATCCTTCTCTGCTCTTAAAATCCTAAGTCCTCAAATACTAATTACCCTAAAATCCTTCTACATTGCACTATGTTTTCCTCACAGAACAAAACCTACACCTTGTTTCTCTATGTTCTGCTGACTTGGAGCTGTAACAAATGCAAGCAACAGATTCTCCAGTGCTGGCAAATTAAGCAGCCATAAACCTACAACTTTTTCCCTGTTCAAGTCCTAAACTCTAAAGTCTTTTCCTCCAGACCTGCTGATACATGAAAACCTTAATTTTCTTAAGACTGAAGTCAAAAAAGGTCACAGAAATCATTTCTCAAATCTGTCCAATGTCAGAAAAATAACCAGTATCAGCTATTTGGTCATACCATACCAAGTCAAGCATAGAAACATGCTGCAGTGGCAGATAAAGACAGTATGCAACTCATTGTTGCATAAGTACTAGTCCCATATTAGCAAAGCTCTAGGTGGAAATTAGATTATGTATTCAAAATGATTAACTTACCCGTGCTGCTCCCTTTTTATGAGCATGGTAGGTAGGTCCATCTTTGTACTCTCCATACCAATAGTATGTACTGGATCTTTCATCATAGAGTATACCCCCTCCATGAGCCTGAATAGGATTTCCCTCGGTATCCAACCAAATTCTCCCTGGATGGTAGGAGTAGCTATCATTTCCTGCATCCTTTGTTGGATCTATAGCAGTTTTCAAATCTGGAAAGAATACATGCCGAAGCTGGGAATTCTCATCAAGAAATTCATCAATTAGAGTGGTTGTTCGCTTGGGTCTCCGTTTAGCAGCACGTGGGGATCGCTTGCCCCTAGGAGGGGGAATCTGAATATTTTCTTCCTCCACCTGTTCAAGTTCACGGACTAATGGATGACGACTCATACGCAATTGGATATCTCCACCCACTGCATTTCTGTGGCTAACAAGAGAGTACAGATGAAGCATAAGAACTAACCCCACCAAGCTCCACACTACAGCAGACATTGAGCATCTGCTCCCTGCATTGCAAGGGAAAGCGGTTGGTTTCCTGTATTTGTTCCTCACCCTCATATTCTCTTCCTTTTTTATCTCCAAGATAATGCTGCAATTAAGCAAATGCAACCTATGGAGATCCAATAAAATCGGACCAAATATGAGTCACAACAATGCTAATTTATTCTATCTCTTAATTTCATCAAGATTTGAGTACAACAAACTCCGCACTAATACTACAGATTGGCTAGACTTAGATTGACTACAAATAGCAACCAAGTCCAGAACATAGACAAAATGCACCCTTTTCATGATTAGTATAGGCAATTATCAACTCCTAATCGTAAAAAAGAGAAGGATCAACTTGACAGAACAAAATATGTATAGTTGCACTATATTTACCATGTTCTCGACATGCACCATACGGTAAATTCAAGACACCCTTTTTATACTGAATAAGAAAATTATAAACTGGAAAACAAAAATAGACAAACAAATTAAAGTTCATTTAAATGCAAACAATCCTATTTACATAGTTATCACCTCAAAAATTATCAAACTTTGAAATTACAATCAACTTTATACTGCAAAAGCTAAAACCCATATGCAGACCCACAGAACACACAAAAAACAAGAACTTAGCCGAAAATTATTAATACCCAGAGAAAAAAAAAACTTACCTGACAGAACTCTATGAAAATTCCCAGTCTCAGGTATGGGCATCTCTGCTTTACCCTATCTTTAAAGTTCCAAAGACAAAACCAAGCAAATCATAGTCTGGTAAAAACACCCAACTTGAGACAATTTCCAACAATCTTACTAAAGACCCAGAGAGATGGAAAAGAGAAAAGGAGTAAATTCAGACAAGAAGTAGACAAAGCGAGGAGAAGTTGAGTAGTTTATGTCTTGTTTGTTTAAAATAAGATCTTAAACAGTTTAAATGAAGAAGATGACTGTGACTTTTGAACAAAGATTTTTCCTTTTTTTCTCTCACTCTATCTATTTTATCTATATATCTTTTGTTTCTATCTCTTTGTGCTGAGTTTTGGAACTAGGACTCGACTCTGGCTCTCTGTTCCTTATCTATGTTTCTACACCATTCGGATGTTAGATATTTGCTGTGCTAATGATGATTTTATTCATTATTTGGTAATTAATTAAATGTTGTATATGCAATAATAATAATAATAAATATTATCAAAAAGAAAATTTAGTTAAAAAAAGGAAATAAAATACTTTTAATTAACTAATTTATTTAGGCATAATAACATTTCCAATTTCGATACCCTAAAACAACTTAATTAGGGTGCTTTTTTCCTTGATAACCAAAAGAAAGGAATCTGAGTAATTAAACTGAAACTTAAAAAAAAGCAAAGAATATGATAATGAGAGTTAGGTCGAAGTAGAATATGGACTAGTTGACAGCGAGATTGAGTTGATATGGCATCTGTAGTTTTGATTAGTTGACCAAATTTTAGCACCAACCATGGCTTTAGCATTACCTCTTTGCTAAGGTCGGTAGGGGGAAAGCATCACTTTTCAAGAAATTAATTTTACATTTTTTATTTTCATAAATTGATTGTTTACCCCCCCCCCCCAAAAGCAAAGAATAAGTTAAACATAGTACTAATTAACATGTTGAAATTTAAAAGAAAATAACATTTTTATCATTTAATACAATTGGCTATTACGGATTATGATTATAATAATTAGCATATTAAAGGCTTCTAATTACAATCTTGTGCCCTTAAAAGTTAAAAATATCATTAAATCATTTAATACAAATTAAATGATAATATAGTGGCTTTGATTTGTTGACTTTTTAGCCCGTATTTGGTGAGGATAAAAACAAATAATAATTCCCTAATTAGGTGATCGAGTCCTTTGGAATTTGCAAAATAAATCAAAACAAAGCAAAAACTCCGTAACCAAAACATTGGTTTGGATTACCATTAAGAAATCAAAAATGGAATTCCTTAATTACTGTAGCTTTTAATATCGTTAAAGTGACATTTTTCTTTTTCCTTGGTTTTATGTGTAATACATTGTTTCCACATAAAGTCATCAAGGAAAATTGGAACAGAAGTTAAAGCAAATTCATGTATTTCTGCTCTTTTTCTTTTTCAATTCACGAACACTCAGATGCATTAATTTGTTTGTTTAACTAATTAATCGAGCTTATCACCAATGATTAGATTCTTATTCTCTCCATTACTACACAAAGTCACAGGTTGCGACAGCTTTGCATTTGTTTATTTTGATGGGCTTCTTCCAATTTAAAGAGTTATCCCCTAGTAGCAGTTTTTAAAGCCCAACCATATTCTGTTGTCACTAGAAATGGCTGATAACATTTAAGTATTTAAAGAATCATTTAATATCTTATCATCAAACGCAAATTTGATCTGATGATTAATCTAAGGTAATTTTAGCTTGAATTATTTTACCATGTCTTAGGACAATCATGAATATGTACTAAAATTTGATTGTGTGACATAAGTTTATACAACCTAGCTAACCAAGAGATAACCTCCACCGTATAAGTTTGCTATTCTAATGAAGGGTTTGATCGCCTTGGGTTAGGGAAGATTGAACATCTAGAGAAGCACCTTCCCTTCTCTTGATAAGCTTTCACAATCCAAGTTAACTCTAAAAGCATCATGGAAATTGAAAGAGATAGCATCGATGCCCATAGCCATCGTAGCGATGTCCTAAACGGTCTGCATTGATGCAGGAAAACGTCAGAGAAGGCGTCCTTTACCATGCTGCATTCAGCCAAGTTCTGCAGATCAGGAAACACATTGAGCATGTACTGAACAGAATGGCTGTATGCCGATGCCTCGTTGTAAGTATCCTCGGGAAGGAATTTTCCATTACTTGAGCATACTTGAGTGGAATTCTCATTGTAACAGGTGAACCTTGCAAGGATCTGCATACGAGTTTTCAATCAAAAGTATTAACAGGGAAGTCACAAATTCTGGACAAAATTGTTATGAAGGAATTCAAGATTTCGTGTCTGGTGGCAGGAGTAATCTTTGCTTACATTTGGTATGCTGCCGATGGGGATGGCATCTTCGGGGCAGACTTCAGGTACATAGCTGTAGTTAGGTGCTCCGGAGAAGGGGTCACATATCATCCCAAAGCCAAATAAACCATCATTGTGTTCGTTCAATTTGATTCTTGAATATACCTCAGTTATTTGCAAGTTCAACTGCAACATATATAGAAATGCATTCACATATAGCATATCATATATAAAACTATATCATGCTTTTCATTTTGCAATGAAAATACTAATCAATTCAGTACCTCCCATATGAAATCATGTATAGTGGAGCCAACTCCAGTCAAGATTTCGTCTGAATTTGTTGAATTCATGCAGGGTAATATTGAGCTTAAGATGTTGTTTTGGGGGTCTTGGACAAAATCTTCAAAAGCTGAACAAGAATCTTGAGCAAAACTGCATATAGCGGGCACGAGGTTCTTAAAACTTGTACGGTTCACAAGGAAAAGAGAGGGTGGGAAAGCAGAGATCTCGGACTGTTTACTCACGTGTGAAGGGAAAAATCAAAGCCAGTCAAAACCCAGCACAGAGCTGTTAAGATCCAGCAGAAACAAATTATGCTGAAATGCAGGAAGAGGAACACGATGGAAGCAATAAGCATAAGGCAGAAGTTTACATCTTAAATGAAATATAAGCTGATGGAGGAATTCAGATTTTTCCTTACAAGACAAGTCCAGGGTGCCAATGCGACAGAAGCAGAACTGAGCCAAAGCAGCAATCCATTAGTCTAATCAAGTTAGTTGTGATTATGCACTCTTTAGAATCAACCAGATACTAAAATATTGTTTTGAACCAGAAAATGAGTAAGCAATACACTTTCAAAATCAGAATTCTGGATTGAATAGGTTTTATTTGTGGTAAAATCAAACCTGATATGCCAAACATAACAAATTAAGCATTCATCAACTAAAGAGAACTCACCAAGTGCAGCAATCAACAATAGCAAGTTGACCATGGCAATCACAAGATGTGCTATGTACCTAGGTCAAAAAAATGTAGACGGTAAAATGCATATAATGAAAGACATAGTAGGACAAAGCTATTGCCTAGGAATTGGATGCTTACGAAGTTTGAATTGCCACATCGATTGGACGTTCATGACTTCTAACAAAATTGTGAATGGTTCGTGATTCCTTTCCGAGTCGATGTGTTGTCACATTCAATTCCTGAGATGTCTTTCGATCATACGGAAGCAGAAGGTATTGTATTCTTGTCATTGCAGTAATTAATTTTCGGATGGATTTGCTAACATCATCTCCAGCACTTACAATAGTATCCTTCAGTTTCTTTGTTCTTTGCAGGGAGCTCTGGTTTGCTGCGATTACGAAGCTGGCAGCAACGCTTTGGGTTGAATCACGTGCAAAAAAAGTGACAATTTATCAGACTAGTTACTATAACTTCCCCAGTAAAACAGTGCCAGTGTTTCTAACCCTGGTATAGCATTAGACCTAAACTATACCCTGAATTGGCTTCCATTTTACAAACAGATCGATATGCTTGTCTGTGTCAGAAGCAAGAATCTTCCATGAAAGTATATGATAACTTAAAAGCAATCACTTTAAACTAGTCTATAATGAAGGAATATTTTTATACATGAACTTTTGGAGTTAGAGGTAACTCCAAGGATAGGGATTGGAGGCCCATGATCCTTAAGCTGCACGGAATTCTTGTTGGAATATGACTTAAACAACAGCCCATTTCATTCCTATTACCAATTGAGAAAGAAAACGGAAGCAAAGATGGATTGATTGAGGCACTTACATGGCGAGCAACGTTAATAGGAGGAACATCATAAACAACAACAAATAGTAACGATCCAAATGGTCAGTGAAAGAAGAAGAAGAAGACTCGCTACTGCTTATGTTCTTGAAAATCAAGAAAATCCCAAAACATATACCACACACTGTCCAAACTCCCGCCATTGCATATCCATGAACTCCTGTAAATGCCGCAGACTGAAACATCATTAAAGAACAAAAAAAGAAACAACAAAATCAATGCTGTACACTCCTTTCCTCAACAGAATCAAATGAAAAGAGAGAAAGACCGGAACTCACGGCCCAGTAATGCTTGTTTGTAACGTTATAGACTCCACGGTAGTCCTTCAAGTGTCGAAGAGGATCGGGCCTCTTGAAGGAATGCTCGAGAGGAGGCGAGCCAAAAACTACCAACTTTGGTGAAAACATGGAGGAGAAAACGAGTAGGAAAATAAGTGAGGCAACAGCTCCATTTGGTTCAGACATGATGGAAAATTTTTAGAGCAATGAAAAGGGTAGAAAGACAGACAAATGATGCATCAAAATCTTGCAACCTTTTGCTTGGTCGTCTGACTTAGAGAGAAAGGTAAGAATTGCTTGTGGTTATGGTTTTGTAAAAAATTTTGAGAATGAAGGAGAATGTTTAGAGCAACGAATCAAGAGCCGAAGTTCCTGGTTCATTTTGACCACCTTTTCGGTTTTTCTCTTTTGCTTAATGCCTTAAAATGTAAACCTCTTGTGATTTTAAAGGGGAAATCCTATGCAAGTGACTGGGATTTTACAATATCCTACCTTTTTTGGTCGTGAGAAAAACAAAATTAATTATTGCCATGCTTGATATTTTTCTAGTGATTTGCATGCAATATTAATTTGTCATAAATTAATAATTAATGATGCGGCCAATTGTGGCATGTGATAATTAGTCAATGAAATCCAATCAAATAATTCACTATATATGGCAAATGGTTTCAACTTATTTTCCTTTTCAAAAGGCTTGAGAAATGTTTCTTATCAAACATTTTTTGTAATTAAATTAAAAACTTGAAATTGCATTTTAAAAGTTTTCGGATTCCACTTGTGAAACAAAGGGAATCAAATTTATAAGATAGAACAAAGCTTTCTCGTGATCTTGACGATGATATTTTTAATTTTCTACAAAGGGAAAAGGAGGGAATGGAAATGAATTAAAATAAAAAAATATAACGGAGAATGATAATTTTTTGTTTAGAGAGAAAAAAATAGAAGAAATTGACTTTGATAAATTTTTTCATTTTTGTGTACACAATTAATCATTCTTATCTAACAAATTAGGCAAGTTTGAACCAAAAACAAAATGTCATGAATTTATGATTTTACCTTAATTAAAGTTTTTCTCTCTCTTTTTCTCTTCAGTCCTCCGTTTTTTGCAAGCAACTAAAGATTCCAGTTAGAGGCTGAAGTAGGCCCCCGTACTCATCCGCTCAAACCAGATTATGGAAAAAGGTTAGACCCATTTACAAAATGGGCTAAGGCCTTTTTTCTCCAGAACACAATAACGCTCGAGCCATGGCTCTGGTCTGCCACCTCAATTCTTCGGCACAACTATTTTATATTACGTCACACAGGATCTCCAAACTTTCACTAAACGCGATTGATTCCACTCTCCAGGGACGTTACTTTGATCACCAAAAACCAACCAATCACATTTCCCCGTGAAGATCAATAGCCATTGATGTGACCATTTGACTGTTCAATCTATTTCTTCCTCCGGACTTCTCTCACTCTTGATTGGTCCGAATTGGAGTACAAAAAAAAGCTTGCTGTTATTTTGACCGAAGTAATAGAAACAATAAAATCGAACCGTCCATACTTTCCCATTCACTCACTACCAACGGCTGATATTTTCCTATATTATTATTATTTTTTTCAACTGCCCAAACATCGCCCACCGTATTTTAAAATCCAACTGCTGGCCCCAAAAAAAAAACATAAAGAAAAGAAAATCAAGTCCAACTTTGGCTGTATTTATTTAGATGTAAAGGAAATAATTGACGGGGAGGAATTCGGTAAAATAAATAAATAAATAAAAATCAGCACTTCAGCAGGCGAGAGGGAGGGAAGGAAAAGGAAGGAAAAGCAGGGAAAAGCCAGAGGCTGAGAGAGATCCCTGCCTCTGTCCGTCTCTCTCTTGTTTTCCTTGGAATTTTTTTTTTTAAAAAAGAAAGCTTCTTTTTGTTGCTTGGGATCTCTGCTTGTTTTTCTCTTTGAATCTCCTAATGGGGTTGTGGGAAGCTTTTCTCAATTGGCTTCGCAGGTAGGAGAACTTTTTTTTGGTTTCCTGCAATGTCACTCTTTGTTCATTTCTGATGTGGTTTTTTTGAGAATATATTTGTTTTGGGTTGAGAATTCTGATTTATATAGAGGTGGGTTTTCTTTCTTTAAGCTAAATTTTGTTTCTTTATCCTTAACTTTGTGTTTGACACCCCAGTAAAGCAAGTGAATTTTCCAGCTTTTGTTTGACAATATAGTCAAATTTATTCAAGGGTTAAGAATGTACATATTGAAACGAATAAAATTGATGTATAACTTGTGAGCAGAAATGGATAATAAAAGATGGGTCTTTGTTTGTTTGTTTTTCTTTCTTTCTGAAGGAAAGAGAAAGAACGTTTCAATATCAATGGATATCTGTAATTTTCAATGAGTCGATGGTTTTTTTTTTTTGTTTTAATTCTGCATTAGAATGGTGTAGGATGTGGTAACATCACTCCATAGATAAAGAAAAAGTGGGCAAAGACGAGGAAGAGGAGAGGTTCTTTATGGTGGTGAAGTAAATGCAGGAACTTTACAATATCATGCCTTTTGAGTAGTTCCCTATTTTGATTAATATGAAGGTTGTGAGTGTATCTGTTACCGGCATGATCAATGATTCCTTAAAAGTTTTTTGCAAGAGTTTGGAATAAAAAATCTCTTCTGTTCCACATACCCTAGAATCTTGGTTTAAGTTGTAAATTCTGCTTTTATTTCATGTGGGCTAGTGGATGAATCCTATATTGAGTTTTCCGGTGATGGGAAGCTTTTGTTTTTAGCAAACTAGAAATTAAGTACTTTTCAGTCAGTTAATGGCTTTTATCGAGGCATATGAATGCTACAAATGTTAAACATGCTGAATTGCTAAATTGAGAGTATTATTACTTTTCAGTTGGTCATTTATTACTGCTGACTTTTTCAACCTTTATTTTCTTAAGTATTATTCAGGCTCTTTAAAGTTGACCTCAGTAGGTCAACCTTCACATTACAAGGGCTTACTTTTTCTATATGTTGTTTCGCAGCCTCTTTTTCAAGCAGGAAATGGAGCTATCTTTGATAGGTCTTCAGAATGCTGGAAAAACTTCATTAGTAAATGTTGTCGCAGTAAGTAAATTAAAACCTCGCTTGTTATTGTCGTTGCAGTGAGTAAATTACCAAAAGGGTCACTACTAGAATGTGTTTTGTTTTACTTATTCTTTGGGCTGAGTTTAAGTTGGCTGGTTGGTATTGTTTTCAGACTGGTGGATATAGTGAAGATATGATCCCTACGGTGAGTTGTAAGAGGATTTGTACTTGCTCCATTACCTTTGTGACTGAAGATGATTTTACATTCCAATGCTTTTGTAGTCTTTTTCTTTCTGGCATAGAACTAAGGTAATTAATGGTTTCATTTTCAGGTTGGATTCAACATGAGGAAAGTGACAAAAGGAAATGTTACAATAAAGTTATGGGATCTTGGCGGTCAACCTAGGTTTCGCAGTATGTGGGAACGATACTGCCGTGCAGTTTCTGCTATTGTGTAAGAAGCGACTTCTTTATTTTCATGGATGTGTTATTTGAAATAACTCTCTTCTGAAGCTTTGGGGAACCAAAAAATTATTGCTAATGGTTACCCAACTCTGATTTGGTGGCGAGCGTCTCAAAAGTGGCATTATTAGTAGTATATCTAAAACTGCTTGGTCATCATTTCTGTTTATGCATGTCTTCAGAAAGCATAGCTCATGAACTGAAGGTGTGTTATATACTGTGGTTGGTCTTTGGAAAGGTTTGCATTTGATATAGCCAAGATTGATGAGATCTTGCCTTTGTACTTCTCAAATCACGAAAGCTGATATTGTTATTAGTTATGTGAAGTGCATAGCTTTCTGTACATGTCTTCGTATATCTATTCGGAAAACCATGAGCATGAACCCAGGGAGAAGAATCTGGCAAGGAACCTGTCTCTAAGGAATGGTGCCATTTTGTATTTCTTACCGGTTTGATAGGGTTGTGCCCCAGGAAATAACACCTTACAAATAGGTTAATTAAGGATCGAGTGTTAAAATTTATACCTATCATTGGATGAATTGTTATGAGAAAATAATAGTTGTTTGATTGTTTCTCATTAAATTGGTTGCAACTGCTGCATTATTTGTGTATGAGGACATCTCCTATTAGAATCATAGCTGCTCTATTTAGTTTTTATGTTTTTTCTTTTTTTTGGATCTGTTGTGTGTCACACACAGCTATGATTGGGTGTTAAATAATTAGAGTGCCTATCAAATTCTGCATTTTTATTGGTGAATTTACATCTAACCTGACCCTGATTTTCTTGCAGTTATGTGGTCGATGCTGCTGATCCTGATAACCTGAGTATCTCAAGAAGTGAGCTCCATGATTTGCTGAGCAAATCCTCACTTAGTGGCATCCCTCTTCTGGTGCTAGGCAACAAGATTGACAAGCCAGGAGCTCTGACAAAGCAGGCTTTGACTGATGAAATGTAAGAAACAGTTAACTCCAAGTAACCCAAAAGAGCTGAATTGCAAAGAAGGAAGTAAACTGATTCAGCTGAGTTCCGCTTTGCTTGAATTTAACAGTATCTCATAGCATGGAATATTTTAATGCAGGGTACTCAAGTCAATTACTGACAGAGAAGTTTGCTGCTTCATGATATCATGCAAGAACTCAACCAACATTGATTCTGTTATTGATTGGCTTGTAAAGCATTCCAAATCAAAGAGCTGAAATAGGCTTGTGTTTTTTTGTTCTGCCTTTCTTTTCTGCTGAATCTGTGTTTCATAATTTAAGTTTCCGAAGGGATACAATTTGTGTTGCTTGAGAATTTCATTTTTGGTTTTTCTCTTGACCTCTTTTCTGATTGTTTAATATTGTTTCTCATCGTGTACCGTACACGAGATCATCACATTTTTAATTGAAGTAGGATGAATCCTTTCTCTTAGCATGCTTTTCACCAATTACTATATATAAACGGAAGGTTTCAATTGCGCTGCTCATCTGGCTTTAATTTAAGATCTGTTTATTTTGTAGTAAAATATTTTTTGAAGAATATATGTTTGTTTGGAAGATGAAAAATTAATTTTAAATGTCCGAGTTAACAGGATTAATAATGGAAAACGCTTTACTCTTTCAAAACAATAAAAATATTTTTATATTAAGTTTATAAGAATAAATTTAATGAATATTAATATTTAATTTAAAATATTAAAAAATAAAAAATATTTA